ATCTGTAAAAATCTCTCGATTTTCTCAATAAACGATCTGTTGCCTGGCCCTTATCATCTATCGTTACACAGTGTGTTTCAACTCTTTTAAACGGTGTCTGCTCACAGTTTCTTTTGTGAGCGATGGGGTTTTTACTACTATAGTTAAGTATTCGGTTTATGAGCTTTGATTTTCTATATATAATAATAATAATAATAATAATAACGGTTTTATTCCAAACGGTATTTGTGGTACAGGTATGGAATTTTCAGCGTGCATTACAGTATATTGCATCTAATTACCTCATAAATTATATAAGATTTCTAAAAATCAAAGATAAATAAATAAAAATAAAATAAATAAGTTATAAATAAATAAAATAAATAAATATTAAAAATTAAGAAAAAAAAACAGCGTAGAGTATTTCATTTCAAACAATGCACCACAGGATTTGAAATATAAAGTTGATGTGTGGTAGTAGATGAGAACAACAGTGTAGTAGTAACAAGGAAAGGAAAGTAAAATCTAATGGGACTATTTGTTAGAGTGCTGCAGTAAGTTTATCGTGTTATACCTAACGGATTTCTCATCACATAACAGCTGTGCCAGATAAGGTATTGTGGACATTTTGTATTTGGTAGTCCTAGCATATAGCCTCCTATAGCTGCTTCTAGTTCTACCAGATGAAACACAAGGACAGAGCTGAGTATAGAGAGAATGCTAGGGGTCCGACAATATTGTATTCGCTAGTTCCTTACATGACATTATATGTCTATCTACAATAGTGTTCACCAGTTGGTTTAACGATATCCCACTTGCCCTACTAACAGCTTTTAGTGCCCTTCTCAGCGAAGCAAAGTCTTTCTTAAGTAGTCCAGGAAAGACTAATGGGGAGCAGTAAAGGAGGATGGGTAGAATACAAGAATTTACAAATTGAGAAAGTAAAGATTGCTTTATACCAGACTGCCTAAATTTCCTAACATAGAACGTTAAGCGAAATATCTTTCGAGTAACTAGCAAGATGTGGGAGGACCAGGAAAGATCGGTGGAAAAACTCAGCCCAAGGTACTTGACATTAGATGTATTTTCAACCTCTGTGCCGTCAATGAGAGTGTTTGTGTGTGTGTATTTGTGTTTCTAAGTTTCCTGTGTTAGTTCTCTTAATTAACACATCTAAGAATGGGATTTTGTTGTCTAAGGCGAAGATTGGAATTAACAGCGCTACCTATAATTAAACCGAAAATCTAAGTACGTTACATTTATGATACATTTGTAATAGTTAAAAGAAATGATTTGGAATATACCCACAAATTAATAAACAACTTTTTTTGAAGACATTAAATTCACAAGAGAAGAAGAATTAGACACCAGAATTCTATTCTTATATGAGTCTTAATGAATTCACTAAATCCTGCTTTATTAGCTTTTGTTGCTTGTTTTAATTTTGTATAGGAAAATAAGTGTTTTCAATTCGCAAATAATCTTATTTGGTGGACTAGTCAAATGGATGGGTGTTCTCGCAATCCCAGTAACTGATGATGTTCTCAGTACCCACCATTTAAAAAAAAACACCAAAGCCTTGTCCACTAGACCACTTCGACCATCACAAGAACTAATAACGGTGAAAAAGGTATCTTTGTTATTGGATTTTATTGATTCACTTTTAATTTTTTCGGTCTACTGAGTGCAGCGAAAGTTCAGCCTCTGCTGACATGTCGGTAACAGGTACGGCAGCTTCAAAAATGCCTTCTTCAAACCAACATAAAACTCCAAGAAACATCTGGAAGCTTTTCAGGGAAATTACAGGTTGCGGTAAGCATAATATTTGCGACCCTTCTATTGATGTAAATACTCTTAATAGATCTTTTATCCGCCCTTCTAATGTCCATTTTAGCCTCAATGTAACTAATAACATGACCGGTGACTTTCTGAGTTTCAATACTTCTGCTGTTTTTAAATGTTTAAAATCTCTTAAACCTACCCAGAGTCTAGGCCCTGATGGTATATCTGCCATTGTCCTAAGGAAATGTGCTGATATTTTGAGTAACCCACTTACAAACATTTTCAATACTTCTTTTTCTAATAATGTTGTACCTTCTCTGTGGAAAGATATTAAAATCACCCCGGTACCCAAGTCTGGTTCTGGAAATAGTGTTAAGTTTAGACCTATTGCTATCACCTCTCCATTTTTGAAACTTATGGAGAAATTATTGTTACTAAAATTTGTTCCCTCCCTAAGCTTCTCAAATAATTCAAAGCAGTTTGCTTACAAACAGGGTAGAAGTACTTTGGATGCTGCTGCTGTGTTTCATCACAACATTGTATCCTCCTTAGACAAAGGGGCCAAGTATGTCCGTTGTACTTTCCTTGATTACACATCTGCTTTCGACTCTGTACCTAGAGGCCTTTTGTTAAACAAGCTTAGCTCTACACAAACTGAGTCCTGGGCTATCAACTGGCTGCACTCTTACTTCTCCAATAGGATGCAGTACATGGTATATAATGGTGTAGCTTCCTCTCCTTTGCTTACTGAAGCTGGAGTTCCTCGGGGTGCTGTTCTCTCGCCGTTTCTCTTTTCCTTCTTCCTACATGACTTACCTCTCTCAGACGAAATCAACTTCGTCAAATATGCAGATGACCTGACTGTTTCGCTTCCCATTAAGTCCCAGTCAGACTGTTTCAAATTGAATAGCTTCTTGTTGGACATCAGTCAGTGGTCTAAACTAAATGGCCTCATGCTGAATCCCTCAAAATGCCAGACTATTGACTTCTACTTTAGGCATAAACGAAATCTACAAACACTAGTAAGCACTCATGAAGACTGTAGCATTGAGGGGACTAAAATTGAAACTAAGTCTAATGAGAAATACCTCGGACTAGTTCTATCCTCCGACCTCACTTGATCATCTCATATTCAAACGATTTCTAAGAAAGTGTGTCGTCTAATCTACTACATTAAGAAAATCAGACTAACTGGAATCACTCAATCTCTGCTTTCACAATTTTTCAACTCCCGTATCTTACCTATTCTACTTTACTGCTCCCCGTTAGTCTTTCCCGGGCTAGTGAAAAAGGACTATACCATCCTGAGAAGGATGTTGAAGGTAGTTAGTAGGACTAGTGGTGTAAAACTCAGTCAGCTCGTCACTACATTAGTAGATAAGCATCTGAATACATGCGAAAAATGGTCTAAAACCATACTCTCTGACCCCAAACACCCCCTCTATTCCCAACTCGCTCCTTGTATCTTTTAAGATAGAACCAGAAATCAGTATAAAATAATATATATGCTCGTACAACCAAGTATTGGAACTCAAAGATACCATATTTGGCCAGCCCGTGTTCTAAGTGAGACAGAGACAATGTTAAGTGCGAAACCTATGAATTGCTTTGTTGTTAATAACATAATTTTGCCTCTTTTATTTCTCTCTTATTTGTATTCTATAGTGAACAACCTTCTTAAACATACTTAGCTACCTAAATTATTAACACTGGCTTACTTTTTTTTGTGCTTTACATTATTCCTTCTTTTGTGTATCTACTGGTCCCGACTATATTAGCACTATGAGTATTACAAAATTTTCCTGTCATTAACCATCATGTAATATTAGTTTTGTGATTGTTTTTTTTTGTTCGGCAATATTAAACTGACAATCCTGGTTGTCAACGCCGTTATCACCATCTTAAAAATTTTGTATTATGCAGGATTATTCACACTACCACTACAAACACCGTATTAGTTTTGACAATAAAAAAACAACCCTGAAATGTTTATTTTATGATTGTTTAGTGAAGTTCAATCAAATTAACTGATCATCTTGGCGATAAACATTCTTAAAAATATCATTTCATAACTTCTTGTATGATTATAGCTGTTACTGTTCACCACGCATACACATATCATAGCTTCCACTACCCAATATTGAGATATTATTTATTATGTTGTTTATTTTTCTATTCTACTTCTTGGTATTTTTTCGCATTTTTTGGTATTTTGAGGTTTTTTTGTTTTTGTTGTTGTTGTTTTTTATATTTTTCTTTTGAAATACTCCTTTTCAATGTCTGATAAAATTAGACGCACTTTTGTAGATAAATGCTGAAAATTCCACACTGTACCACTGGTACTGTTTCTGGAATAAAGCAAATTATCATTGTTATTATTAATATAAAATTAGATTCATTGACAATATTAACAACAATATAATAATGCCAGAATAAATAAAAAAAAGATAAAAAAAATAGGGCTGCTTACTTATAAGTTCCGTAGTAAGTTGGTAATTTCCTGTCCTGCATTTTCTTCATCACATAAAATCCCCGACAAATAATGTATTCAGGATTTCATCATGAGCTGACATTAGTTAGAGGACCATTGGAAAACCTGGGAGTACTGGACAGCTGTTTCGTCCTAGTTTGGGACTCTTCAGCAGTACGCACCCACCGGGATTCGAACCCAGTTCGAATTTATTGAATCACTACCTTTCAAAATAGCTTTAAAGATTAAGTTATTGACACTGGGATTTATGCAAACATTTATTAAGATTCAGTTTATTTTTCCCATTGTTTATTCACTGCTCTTAGAATAAACAATTTTGATGTGTGTATGTGTCTGCATTTGTGGGTATTAACACAGTAGATCACGTCAGCAGTAAGGTACAACAGCAAAAAATTTCAAGTGTTGGTTTGTAGGGATTTGATTGGTTTCAGGATTTCATCATGAGCTGACATTTGTTAGAGAACCATTGGAAAACAAGTAGGGGGTACTGGACAGCTGTTTCGTCCTAGTTTGGGACTCTTCAGCAGTACGCACCCACCGGGATTCGAACCCAGGACCTTCCGGTTACAAGGCGAACTCGTATACCATTAAGCCACTGGGAGCCGATCCAATGGTCCTTGAATTCTAACTTCTGCCAATTCACGACATAGCGCGACCGCTAGCCAATGTCTTCGGCGAGTATTTGTCCTCACACCCGACCAGCTGCAACCTACAGGTCACGACTTCCCACTGGAACCCAGGTAACTACCTACCTGAATAGGACCAGTCGCCAGTAAGCATCTCATTGGTTTTCAAGTGTTGGTTTGTAGGGATTTGATTGGTTTCAGGATTTCATCATGAGCTGACATTAGTTAGAGTTTTTGTAATTAGCTGTCCCAGTATACAGTGCTTCTATAATTGATTTTAGTTCTACCCTATGACGTGCAAGAAGAGAGTTGTGTCTAGAGTGGATGTTAAGAGCCTGACAAGATTTTTTTCAGTCCTTTACCTTCCAAGTGGAACATAGGGGACTTCAAGCTAGAGCTCTTTTGAAGTTTCGGTAGAAGTGGTGTTTATTTTTACGGAATGGGGTTGCTAGCCTCCTCATGCCCAACCTACCCCGTTTACCAGTCTTATTACTGGCTTAGCGATGTAATGGAGTGAGTGCGTCAGTCAGCCAGGGATCAAATCCCGGACCATATGCCTGGTAGACAAGCATTCTACCACCGTGCAACCGACGCTTAATTTTCGTAATCAGGAGAAAACCGGTGTTGTTTTACAAGGCTGACACACTGACAACCAACCACACATGGTACGATACTGTTCAGATTAACACCTAACATCAAAAATAATTACTATTACACACACACACATAAACAAGACAAGACAGCATTTACTAATTTCTTCCAGGAGTCCATGTGTCTATCTTTGGTGCAGACTGAATTCTATCAGTCAGCTTTTGTAATGTGGCCACCATTCTAGGTAGCTCGCCATCACCAGCTAGAGTAATTGAAACAGTGGAGGACCTCCAATTGTAATCAGTATGCTGCTTGCTTCCTATTAGAAAAATGAAAATGCGACCATTTATGAGTCCCGCGCTGTGCTTGCATCCCAGCAGCGTAGATCTGTAGTCAAGGAAGGCATACCGAACATATTTGGCCATCTCTATATAAGCTAGACATAATATTATGATATAAGACGATAGTGGCATCTAAGAAAATTTAATAGGGTTGTTAAAAAGCCTTCAATGAAGGTTCAAGGTTAAGTAAAACCAGTTTTTTCACGTTCCCCAGTGGAACATAGGGCTTCAACCTAGTGACTTGAATTTTCTGTAGCAGTGTTTATTTTACAGGATGGGATTGCTAGCCTCATGCCCAACCTTTCCTCTTCACCAGCATTATTTCTGGCTTAGCGAAGTGAAGGGGTGCGTCAGTGGTCGGGGATGGAACCCCGGACCATATGCTTGGCAGGCGAGCGTCCTAACCACTATGCCACCGATCCACTTCTTTCCATTATTTTTGGAAAAGAAGAAGTAATGGTAACAGATCTGAATGTAACACTCTATCCCCTTAACGATTTAGGCTCAGGAACAACTTTGCAGTCCTTCCAAGAAGCAGGTACAATGTTAGTAGAAAATGATTCATCTAAAAAAATATCATTTAGAGGATAACATAAAATGTCAGCTGTTACACACTATCTCTGAACCAAGGAACTGGGTACATTGTGTATGTAACAAGTACCAGAATGGCATAATAACAGCCAATGGGATTTGATTATGATTATTGAGATTGTATAGTCAGTAAGAACATGAGGTAGAATGAAATTCAATAACTGAATGATACATTTGTCTATGTATCATTAACAAAATGTTGTGTAGGTTTCAAACAGTAAATCGGGTCAGTGGTATGTGAGACATTACGAATACTGTACACAAATAAACTAATAAATCGAATAAGTTAGACGAAAGTTCAAGGGTGCCGAATCATAATAATGATGCAATAATAACTGTGGTGTGGTGTACACACAAAAGTACTTTTAGTGAACGATTCTTGTATATTTTGATGTAGTTGTGTTTTCTGATCTAGCTGGATGGTTTTTCGCTAAGCTTTCATTACCCTACTAGGCAACATCTTCAGCGCATACTAGTTCAATTTGATGAGGTGAGTGTTCAAATTTCTCCACGAGTTTATTAGTCATCTCTCCTGATGGTACCCGTGATCAACGTTGTGACTGGTTGTTTTGGCGTGTTTTCACTCCCTCTAGGCTACTTGTGGTACTGGTACTGACTTGAACTTTGACTCTTTGTGTGTGAGGTTTCTTTCTTATCGGTTGATAAATTTTATCTATCTCGATGTGTCTATTGATTGATGATTCACTGGAATATCAAGCTGGCTTCTAAAAATTCTCTAGCATTCTTGGTGTCTCCTCTGTCTAATATTTTAACGCTGGTTGTCCTAGTCGAATTGATGTCAGTGGTTGTCTGTATTCAGTGATATGAGCGAGGGAGTGGATGTCATGTCTTTTGACGGCTAGTTTATGTTCATGGAGACGAATACGAAGGGGACGTCCACTTTGGCCAATGTAGTGTTTTTCGTAGACGTGGCAATTTATTTTGTAGATGATGTTGGTTTTATCTTCTTTCGTTGTTGAGTCGTTTGGTTGAAATAGAGCCATCTGAGTGAAGTGATTTTGTTAGTTCCTGTGCCACATAAATTCCTCATCAAGGTTTGACGAGTCTTGCAGTGATTTCTGAGATGTACTTTACTTTTGGTAGGGGGATTTTCTTTAAGCTTTCTTTGTGTAATTTAACAAAACATAATTAAAAGAACTGTGTAAATACATTAACAAATCAGAAGGGTAATATGTGAAACAAGGGTGATAACAAGACATACTAAGAAAGTAATTTGTTTGTTAGATGTAACACACAGTGATGAACCGGTATTACTTACTAGATGACAAGGTTTCGAACAAAATCTATTGTTGTTCATAATTACATCAGCAATTATAATCACACGACTTTGACACTTGAGTTTCATAGTTTTCTTTATCTTCTCCTATTTGTCGTCGTGGCGGTAATAGAATTTTCCACATATCTGGGACAGGTGTTGAATCATTCCTATTACACGTATTTGCAGTTGATTCGATAAACAAAGCTTCCGTTATCAATCTCTCCCTATACCCTGTGACATTAGATTTTCAAACTGTCATCCTATCCCATCCTCTTGTATGGTTGTGTGTAGTTGCATGTAGTGAGTGCTACAGTTGAACTTTTCCCTAGATTTCTTGTCTAATTAGGGTTATCTAATCTAGATTTTGCTAGGTTTTTATGTTCTGCTAGTTTGACCTGTGTATTTGACCTGACAATAATTGCAGGCGGAGTATTAGATGAACTAAATTGTTTTGTTTTAAAGGCTCCGCAGGACTGATCCTTTAACCGACGAAGCTTGTTTCTAATTGAGTTTGTGGGTTTGAACGCCAGCCACTTTTATTCTTGCCTTGTTAAGAATTCTTGGTAAGGCTTCCTAGGTTCCTTCCTTGTATGGAACTACTATTGATGATTTAGATTCCTTATTGTTGGTGTCCTCATCAATATTATTATTATCACTATTATTATTATCAGTATTATTATCACTATTTATTTTATTTTTACATTTCCTTACATACTTTCTGACTAATTTATCCGGGTAATTATTAAGTTTCAAGTCTTCTTTTATGTGTGTCACTTCTTGTCTTAAATTTTCCTTAGTAGTACTTAGTTTTTGTGCTCTGTCATTTAAACATTTCACCAATCCTATTTTACCTACATATGATGGGATGATCGGAAATCGAAATATCTGTTTGAATATCTGTGGGCTTTCTGTAAACACTTGTGTGCTTAACTTCCCATCTTCTTTCCTTTTTACGTTGTAATCTGACATTGGAAGTTCCCCTTTCGTGACTTTCTGATTCATAAGTGAATTGAATTGCCTCTAATTTCGATGACACATTCAATGTCCTTAGAACACAAGATATAGATAGATTTTTCGAACACATCAACTGGAAAGTGGATGCAATTCAATTCACTTATAAATTGGAAAATCAGGAAGGGGAATTATTATCAGGGTAATTATTAAGTTACTAGGATGGGATAGGATGACAGTTTTAAAATCTAATGTACCAGCAGGATAGAGGGAGAGATTGATGACGGAAGCCTTGTTCATCAAATCAACTGCAAATACGTGTAATAGGAATGATTCGTCACCTGTCCCTGATATCTGGAAACATCCATTACCCCTACAACAAATAAGAGAGAACAAAGAAGACTATAAAACTCAAGTGTCAAAGTCGTGTGATTATAATTGCTGATATAATTATGAACAACAATAGATTTTGTTCGAAACCTTGTCATCCAGTAAATAATACTGTTTCACTGACTGTGTGTTACATATAATAAACAAACAAATATGGAATTACATACTTAGATAGGTCGTGAAACAGTAGAAGACCCGAAATAAAACTGTATCAATGAAACAAAAGAAAAAAAGAAAGAAGAATGGGATAGTAATTTAAGGTGTTAATCATCAGTTTTTGCAGAGGATTTGCTGACCTCATTATAGACCAGACAATGGACAGTCTTCGTTTGAATACAAAAGATCACGTCTTCTGGTATTTACTCTTTTAGCTAATGACAGAAGATGTAACTGAGCTTTTCCAGACAGATAGACATCAAACATAAGTCATCCGCGAAATCCAGGTCTTCTAGGTTCTTCACGTCGGTCCAGGATATTCCTGTCTTCTCGTTTCCCACAGTCTGACGCATAATCCAGTCCACCACAATTAGGAATATCATTGGTGATAGTAAGCACCCTTGTCTGACTCCTGTGTTTACTCCAAACGCCTCGCTGAGTCTTCCGTTGTGGATCACTTGGCAGGTGCCGTTGTCGTACAGCTGTTGAATAAGGTTGATGAATATTTGGGGTACGCCATAGTACTCGAGTAATTTCCAAATTACTTCACGATCAACGCTGTCGAAGGCCTTCTCAAAGTCTATAAAGTTGAGGTAGAGGTTTGATTGCCATTCCATGCTTTGTTCGATGATGATGCGTAGAGTTGCAATTTGGTCAGTACATGATTTGCCTTTCCTGAATCCAGCTTGTTCTGGTCGGAGTTCTGTCTCCAGTGCGTCCTTTAATCTCTCCAGGATGATGCGACTCAGGATTTTACTTGGCGTCGATAGGAGCATGATTCCTCGCCAGTTCTTGCAGAGTGGGCCTAAGTCGCCCTTCTTTGGTAG